TGTCTTTTGCCAGGACCAGCATGTCCCACGCGGTGAGGAACTTGGCGTGAATAACGGTCATGTCCTCTCCTACCAATGGAATGGTCTCCCTCTCTTCCACGGCGCCCGAAGAAATCTCCACAAGCTTAACGCAGTCAGAAGCGGAACTGATCGCGAGCATGTTCGATCGTTTGTCGACGCTCCACCTGGAAAGAACGAGGAGCCAAGCAGTCAGATTCGAGCTGTTGTCCTCCACCGCCATCAGGAAACTCACGATGCATCGAGGGGGTCATAGTGCGTGAGGAAAGAAGGTGAGCAGTCCAACTTCAACTCTCCGATCTTCAGCACCAAGTCCACGATCGGGATCCCGTTAGCATCCGCTGAAACAGTCACGTTCCACACGAGGAGATGATTCCTCACTAAAAGCACGAGGTAGTGAGAGTCGGTCTTGTCTCCGGCTCGGATAGTCCGCAAGATACAAGAGTCGCAAGGTCCCTCTCCCAGCTCGACCTCAGCACAAGCTTGCAGGACACTACCCGAGCATTCCCAGATGTATGGCTGCATGTTGAACGCCTGCAGCGATCGCCCATCGCACCCTATCGCCCAGGCCAGGCCTGACTGCCAAACTCCTCTTGCAGAGTCGATAGGCGGAGTCCATTCCACCGCCATGAAGCGACCAGCAGCAATACCAAATGACTGCATTCCGAAGCCAACGCTGTTGGTAAGATCACTCATCCAGAAGATCACTTCTCCCGATGTGCTGCACGTGCACACGAAGGGTTGTGTTGGATGTGCGCTGACATGTTGCACCTGGCCAACATGGTGAATCCACATGCCATCCTTCCCCCCCCCCCTTCCTCCTCCTCCTACCTTGTGATAATGCGCGGAATACTCGCAGACCTTCATCGGGATGTTCATTTCCCGTCGTATGGACCAGCTGGTCATCCACCTAGAGCTCTTGTCCTCTGACTCCACGACCCCGCAGATCTTGAGAATGGACCCTTCCATCCCATGATGAGAATCTTGAAAGTCTTCTTCGGTCAGGTGAGATGTTGCAATCTTGACACTCAAGATCCTGTCTGACACCCTCTCTCGAGGTTTGGAGCTGGAGTTGTCCACCAACAGACCCAAACTTCGGATCGAACGTGCACGGCAGGTTGTCATCGGCGGGAGGAGAGAACAATTTCGGACACATTGACTGTTTGATACCTTCAAGACCTGACTCTCGATGTGGCAAGAAACTTGAAAGATGCGCAAGTTGCCATCAGCTCCTATCATTACGATAAAATCTGAACAGCTTACATCACCTCGAAATTCATTCTCGACCTGCAACAAATCCGTCACTTCCTATAGAAAAGATCGGTCACGTTGCATGCCTGCCAACCATGATGCCCAAGTTTTCTTGCAGCGTTCTTTGGGTTTCCAAGACCATTGAAGATGTCTTCCACTGCTGCTTCAGCTCTTTCGATCACACTGTGAGATTTGCCTCCCTTAGACTGCCTGTGAGGCGAGTGACTGTGGCCATGGAGCTCAAAACTATGTTTGTGATCTCTCTGATCCTTGGATTCACTTCGTCTTTGGAAGGAGATAAAACAATCCTTTCCACTATCAGATGCAACTGTGCACCCGTTGTAGATGTTGACAACCCAGTCATCCGCGTTGGGATGGCTACAAGAGCAAGATAGAGCCTTCAAAAAATCATGTCATTCATCAACGACAGTGAAGGGTGTGATGTTTTTCGATACAGGTGTTTCCAATCACAACCCAGTCTCCACAAACAATGGCACTCACGCACTCACTCACGCACGCACGCACGCACGCACGCACGCACGAATATACGAATGTGTCTCACGTTTGATTTGCCGAGACTGTCTTGTATAAGCAGGAGATATGATGAACTCCTCATTGAACGGACAAGAAGAGAAGAGAAGTGGACTGACTTCAGAGCTCCATGCTTGCTGCTTATCATCGCAAGACTCCAATCATCGTTTGAAATAACTTGAAGATACAGATCTCCTGCAACTTTGACATCCTTGATATCATGCTGCCAAAAGCGTCAACGTCGTGCAGACGAACTGCTCGTGTTACACACCTCAAGGTCAGAGCCACTTATCGTCTGGTGCATATGAATGCCTATTTCACATTTCAATTTATCTTTGTTCAACTTCAGCAAGTTATACCCGTGCAAAGATGTGAAAGAGGAATCAGGAAACACTTGGAAGACTTGGGTGAGCAATAGCCGACAAGTCCCTGATAAAAAAATGTGAGCCAAACGAGCCCATTCCATGTTTCCAACATACTCCATCTTCGGTCACAGCAACGTTAGGTCTCTCCTTCGAGTTCGGAGAATACTCGGTGGCATCGCAGGAGACTATGCAATTCCAGAATTTTCGGTTTGGTTCTGCCTCGGGTACATTCAAAAAAGTGTGCATTGAATCACGATATTTCGACGTTTTTGAATAATTGCAGTTGATTTTGTGTAGATCCCACAAACAGAGACCATTCTCATCTGCACATATCAGAACGGGAACTAGTGGGCTCCATTCTATCACAAGAGCCCCCATCGGAATCACTAAAGACAACTGCCAGGCAAATGGGAAAAACTCTGACGAGGACATCGAGGACGTTGCTTTCATGACCGGTGCAAAAATAAAGATCTGTTTGAAGGACTTGTTAGCAGCAAGACAGAAAGAATGATCGCAATCAACCTTGTCTCTGCATGAAGCTGCTATCGCACCATACGTTGCTGACTCTGGAGTCTTGCTGCGATGAGCAGTAGTAGAGTGTGCGCTGGCAGATATCGGACAATTCGTCTTCCAGCAAAGACACTGAACTTCGTCACAGAGCTCGTCAGAAGTCTGAATGACAGTGAACTTTTTGTCTCGTCGTGCGATGATGATCCTGTTACCAGATGCAAAGACCACCAATGAAAATCCAGCATATTCGCCCTCGCACAGACATTGCGGGGAATCGCTGGGCGCGGGTGGGATGAACCTCAACAAAGGATCATTCTGGGAGAACTTTGCATCCCGGAAAACCATGTTGCTCTCTAAATAGAAGTCCTGTGAGAAGATCTTGCCGTCATTGTCAGCTGGGAGTACAAATCTGCGACCAGTCAAAGGGGCGTTTGCAATTTCATCAGTGCCGATTCAAGGTCTATGCCTCAAATATCTTTTGTAATGCTGGGATCTGTTCCTACTTGGCCATGTCTTGCAGCAAAACCAGCCTTCCCGCCCATTCCTATACAACATTTGTTAGCGATCTGGGAGTTTTTTGATGTAAAAATTCAATACAAAATCAATTGTTTCTCACGCTTGAACTAAATTTTAGTTTGCCTTCCCAGAATTTGAATGGAAAAGCCTTACGAAACGACTCAGCTGACTGTGCAGACATTTTATGCTCTTTTCTGTGTAGACATTTTATGCTCTTTTCTATTCTTAATCTGTTCTATCTTCTTGAGCTTGTAAAATTGATCTGAGAGGTCTGAAAGACTTACGACGCCACCTTGTACTCTACAGCTTCAACAATATGCCTCCACTCACAAACCTAATCCTTCACCCTTGACTTTAATGGATATATCCCTGTTTCTAGGCAATGTTGTTCAACATCCACACACTTAGATTATGTCTTTCTGTCAATCAGCACCCGACGCCAGGTTTCAGCAAGCATCGCTTTCCTTGGTACGAAATGTTCTTTCAACCGATCCTCCCTCCCTCCTGCCACGAATGACCTGCGATTTCCATCCTCGGTCTACATCAGCATCATCAACTATCTTGTCATAGTAAAATCCTCCGATTCAACATCACTCCTCCAGAATCCTTCTGCTGCTTCCTTGCCTGTTTCTGTCCCAGCCTCCCACACCCGCATCATGACACTTTCCTTTGCATACCAAGTTCTACACAAACATTCTACCATGGATCATCAATGTTTCTACATGGATCTCCTGGTATCGCTCCGCCCTAGAGCACCATGATTGTGACGTCTTGGCTTCAAGCTATTGCTTACTCCCTCAGTGTTTTGCACCATCACAAACGTTCACAACAAACCACGCGTCCTCCTCATCTTCACTCTTATCCTCGCCTCCTTCTCTCTGTAAGAACATCTTGTTTCCATCTATCATATCCTCTCTCCTCTTCCTCCACCTCCTCTTCCCCTCCTTCATTCGCCCTTTCCCCTCCCTAGCGCCTGCATGAAAACATTTCCACCCACACCTTCCCCCAAACTATCACCCCTACCCTCTAGAGTCTCTTTCTGTAATATCTCACCCCGCCTATAGATACTAAAAAGGTCTCAATTACACGGGTTGTCTTGTACCCCACCCCCTGAAATAGTCCTCCTACTATATTTTGATAGCTCATCACTCCTCTACACCTCAAGTCTTCATACCCCCCAATTTCACTACCCCCACCCCCAATCAAACCTTTAGACTGAAAAGTACCCATTTACTTAATACCCTACCCTCAAAATTGAAAGAAAAGTTAGTAATAAAAGAGCTCCACCACCCTATCCATTTTCTTGACACCCCTCTTTTCACGCATCCGGTGCAAGGTACCCTCTCTCTTCCTCAACTACCCCCACGTATCGAGTCGTGAGACATACGTCTACCCCTTTCTCCTACGTAAAATACCCTACCAGATTAGAATGTCCAACCCCAGGGGAACAGACCGGTGATATGGATTAGATGGGGTGGGTACATGACTAGGGGTGGGGGGGGATCAGGTTACCTGGTCTGCAAACTTTCGCGGATTCCGAAGTTTGACCGGGGTCCACCCGGGCCGGGCCGGCCGCGGCGGCGAATCGGCAGGGGCCCAGTGTGCCCAGCGGGACTCCGAGTCTCAGCAGGGCGGTGAGTCCCGGATCGGTGACTCAGTGGCCACCAAGCCAGCCCGAGGGCCCGCCAGCGGCCGCTCCGAGGCTCAGCGGCCGGGCCGCCGTCACGGCCGAGTACTAACTCAGAACAGGCTCGGAACGTTCAACCGGCGGCCCGGCGCCGCCGTGAATGCCGTGCAGTCACAGTGACTGATGGTCCGGCTGATTGTTTACATAAAACTTTGAACGATCTTCTACAGTGCACACTTGCTCTCCGACCGTGCGGCTGACGCGGATCGATAGGAAGAGGGAGATAGAGGGAAACCCATGGCACGGTCATAATTGAAAGAGCACGGAGTGAGACGAAGCCTTGAAGCGCCACGCCGTGGCCCGGGCACCGCCTGAAAGTCAGGACTGAACAGCGAAGCCGACTAGTGAGATGGCGGGTCAGGAGCGCAGGGCTCTGTCTGGCCATCAGGACCAGCTTCCTTCTTGAGCTGCCATTGCACAGTAAGCACAACTTCTTCCCCCAACTCCTCACCAGGCACAGGCTGTCGCAGGTGCAGCCGTAGGCATGTGGTTTGAGGCACTTGATGGTGTTGAGGGGGATGGAGATGTGCGGGCATTCCTCGCGGTCCTTCACCTCGTTCCACATGAGGTAACCCAGGAGGATGCGGAGGATTCCCTGCGGTTCGGCTCAGAGCTTCAGTGAGCACAAGGAGCCTCAAGACCTGGTGAGCGATGATTAGCACATGGTCCCTCTGCCGCTCGAGCTCGTGGATGATCGTGTCCAGCCTCTGGAACACGTCCAAGTACGACTCTCCTCGCGGGTACCTGACCATGCATGTGAGGTCTGGAGGAGGAGCGGGTGGTATCTCACCGGTACCCCAGCTTGTCCTTTTTTCTCATGGCGAACTCCTCCGGGTCTGCCGCCTCGATCTCCGCGTATGTCATGCCGTCAAAAATCCCCGCGTGGATCTCATCCAGCGCGTGCCACTCCCTGCCATGCGACTGCTCAGCTAACCTCTTGCCACCTGCACGCACGCGCACCGGGGACGCATCACGATCCAAGGCTGCCCATCGAGCATGATCTCGTCGTGACGGATGTGCTTCCCTGCGACAGGATAAACTCAGATCCCGTCAACACGGCGGGCTCAAGCTTCATTCACCGGTCTCAATAGTTCGCTTCAGAGTAGAAGTCCATAGCCGCGCGCGAGGGTTGTCAACGAGGATGTTCTTGTGCACCCAGGCTGCCAGCGCTGTGGCGTACTCCTCGCCGTGGGCAGTGAGAGACGAGTCCCCTCCGATCTTCTGGGTGAGGTTGTATTCGCTTTGTCCATGTCGTGTCAGGTAGATCATCTTCGGTGAAGTGTGAAGATTCATAACAAAGGACGCGATTCTTCCAGGCAAGTATCCGAAAATCTTGTTGAGAACCACCTGCAAGAATCTTCAGCGCTTGCGCTGGTGGGATCCAGGTCAAGTACAACAACCTGCTGTCCGCCATTTACAGTTTTAATCCAGCTGTACTCCTTGTCTTGATCAGACAAAGGCTCGTAGTGCTGCATGTAATGCGCAATCCTCTGTTTGTTCAGAAGTCAACCTGTGACTCACCTACCAAGAAATCCTTCACGAGTTCGCACCTTCTTGAAATCTGCGACAGCTACGTCTGGCTCCATAGATTGATAATCCGGCATACTCAGCTTTGTCGCCCTGAAAAAATTCTTTCAGCCATCGTACAAGGTTGCTAGAGCAAACTATCACACCTGATGTTGTTCTCAACCATGTTCTCGTCTTCACAAACAGATTCGACGAAGATGATGTGGGATTTGGACTGCAACGGCTCCCATGAATACTTCTCCTGACAAGATCTGCAGGGAGAAAACCTGAAGGATGGGGCTCAATTCATCGATGAGCCATTGCCGACGGGTCCGAGTGTTGTTAGTCGCATCGAATATCGCCACTCGCCCTTTCTCCATTCCAGACTGCAAGGAGCGACCTCGTAAGTTTCCGACACAGTTTCCTTCCTTCACTCACCGATATAAACTTCTTCAGGTCCTCCAGCGCTGCATGGGAACATTCCTGAGCGATCACTCTAACTTCTGGTTCATCCTCAACTTGAATAGAGTTACCCTTCGAGCCTTCACACCCTCAGGGTTGGAATGGTCGAAGAAATCGTGCTCAACGCAGGAACCAAACATCTTCCTTCGGTAGTTGCCGACATTAAACACTTGGGTGGGAGCCCCGTGGAAGAAGGAAAGATAGCGCTGCAGCTTGTTGGCGATATAGGTCTTGCCCCTTGCTGGCAGACCGACCATGGCAATTACAAGCTTGTCGCCTTGGGTTCCATGCTGTTTCAAAGTCAAACTCCAACATGCAACAAGTCGAATCGCAAGCACATCAGCATCTCCAGGAGGAAGAACTTCCTGCGGCTTAGGGTTCTGCGATGATGATTCCATGAAGGTCTTCTTCTGCGAAAGCGTGGTGCCTCCCATCTCCTCACGTTCCGTACTGGAGGGCAGTTCAAATCGCGATGTGACAAGCAACAAAGCTCGTAGCAAACCTCATGTTCAAGGCACGAAGTTTACATCCTTTCACACTGCATGCTTCCAGTCTCTTTGCCCGACTGCACATCATGTGAGCATTTGAACACCATTCCAAGTCCTAGAAAACTTCTCCCTTCTCCCTCACGATCTCAGACTCTCCTCTGCTGAAACCATAGCGCAGGTGGCACTCAACTAAGATGGTGACGATGCACACACCTTCACCACCTGATCCCCATCCACGTACAAATCTGTAGCTGGACCCCACCTCACGCCGACCAACAACAACCCCTGCCTCCCTTCCTCTATGTGCAATCCTCCTTGCCATTGCCATCTCCTGCTTCCGCTGTTCTTTCCGTCTTCCCTTTCATCTTTCGCTCTTCCCTTCCTTCCTATGCTACTCCTCCCCATCTTCCTCATCCTTCTTCAGCCCGTCCCTTCCCGCCATGCACGAGGCTCATAATTCGACCAACTACCCCATACTATCGCAAACAGCACCCCCGAAATTGTTCGAGTACCCCTGAATTACCTCAAAAGACCCGGTACTTTTCAAAGCCTTCCATCATTTGCACCACCCCTGACCCCTGCAGTCCACGCTTTCCGCCGATGCCCTGACCGTCGGTGAGACCGTACTGACGGTACGGTCACGGCGGGGCCGGCCCGGGCCCCGGCGTCAGTGCGGCCTCAAGTCACAAGTTACAAGTTAGCCTAGTAGCGCCGGGGAGCCCGGCGGGGGGCAACTTGACGTGCAACGGGCCGCCATGGTCGCGCCCCGATCAGCCTGAACGGCGTGACGGTGATCAAGTTACTCCGCGCCGCGCCGTAATCCGAAATCGGATGGCCCGGGCCGCCGGGTGACGGAGCCTCTGCGGCAGTAATCGGACAGACCGTCACCGGTGACCCGTCGCCGCGGCCACGCACCCGGATCGGACGGTCACTGTCAGCCGCTGCCAGGGCGGCGGCCCCGGGGGCCGGCCGCCTCTGCCACTCGGGCGGCCCGGAGTCACGGTGCCGCGGCCGGCCGGTGATCGTGACCATCGGACCGGACGGTCACAGTGTAACCGTTGAACCGTTGAACGGCGGGCAGTCACAATTGTGCGAGTGCGGGAGATGATACTACGGAATGATCAAAGGGAGATCGACCCTTGAAGTAGAAGTTTCATTGAATCTCTTAGGCTAACCTATACATACACAAAATTCAAAAACTGCTGCTGAGCTATGATCCCTCCGACACTGAGCGGACCCAGAACGTGTTCATGATCCCCTTCCCCTTCACCATGATCCCCTTCTGCCCATTCGCATGCACCCGCTCCTCTATCTCGAACCTGCTCGAGCTCTCAAGCAGCAGGTCCCGCGTGTGCTCTGTCGCCTGCAGCAGTCCGGCCTTCCCCGTGCTCTCCATCCTGCTCGCCGTGTTGACAGTGTCCCCAAAGATGCTGTACTTGGGGACGGACGTTCCCAGTACGCCGGCAACGACAGGGCCCGACGCCATGCCTGCCCGCATGGAAATCGCATGACCGCTCCTCGTCATCTCCTCCAGTGCGTCCAAGGCGAACTTGGCGACCTTGGCGGCGGCCTCTGACGGCTCACAGCGATCGGGAGCTCCACCGACTACCATGTAGGCGTCGCCGATGGTGTCGACCTTGCAGACTCCGTGCTTGTCAACGAGGTTGTCAAACTTGGTGTAGAGGTCGTTGAGGAGAGCGACGACCTCGAGAGGAGAAGACTGACCCGCCAGGTCCGTGAAGCCAACGATGTCGGAGAAGAAGACCGTGACATCGTCGAACACTTCCACCACCTGCTGCCCGTTTTGAAGACGATGGACCACATGGCGCGGCATGATGCGGTAGAGCAGCTTCGAGTACTGCTTGTGGCTAAGGAGGAGGAGGAGGAGGAGTGTGGAGATGACGACCGATCCAGCCATGACGCCAGCGAGGGAGCCAACATACCACGCTTGCTTGAAACCAGACTCGTACGCGACCGTCAGGTTCCAGCAGCTCCATGAGAAGTCGACCATGATCTCAGCACCTCCGTTGAGGGACGAGGATCCTGCAGTTGCCAGAAGAACCTCGGGAGCAACGAGGAAGGAGCTATCAGGCTGCAGGACGTGTCTCGTTGTTGTGAGGTTGAAGAAGATTTCATCAGCTGCGAACTTTCTCTGGATCTTACTCAGGTTCACCATCATCTCGAAGTCGATCAACGCCGAGGCGAAGCCCCAGAAGGTCCCCTCGGAGCGAGAGCCTTTCAGCCCGACGTCGGCAGGAGCGAGAGAGCCTGCAATCTTTTCCTGCACGAAGATGGGGTAGTTGATCACCAACAGCCTCGAGCTCACGCCTGGCAGCGCCACGGGCGCGCTCATCGAGATCTTCCCGCTGGACAAGCTGTAGGCAGCCGCGTCCCTCAGCAGGGGGTCCTTGAGCAGATCCGTCCCGAAGAGCAGGGCCCCGGTCGACCCTGGGAAAGCCAAGCACATGATGCCTCTGGGAGAGAGCTGGATGCCGACGAGCGAGGAAGGGACTGAGGTAGCGGCCTGGATGTCTTGTATGGCACGTTGAAACATGGCAGCAGCGGCAGGAGGGAGCTGAGAAGGCTGCAAGGAAGAGACGTCCTTGTTCGTTGCGTTGGCGACGAGAGCAGGGAGGTCGAGGAAAGTCCTTGACTGCTGCACAAGCACGGCAAGGGAGCTGAGGGGGGAGGCGACTCGTCCGATCTCTGCCATGAAGAAGTTTGCGGCCTCTTGCCCCAGCTCGCGCGCGAGATGGTCCTGGGAGGACTGGAAGGAGGAGACCCAGGTGAGAATGAGGGCGATGCCTCCTGCAACCAGGCAAGCACAGCAGACCAGCGTCCAAAAGAGCATCGACAGGGTGATATGAGCGGTAAAGGTCCGGTAGCACTGGAGCAGGTAGGCAGACACCTTCTCGTACGAGGAAAGCTTCTTCTCTTCAAACCCCTGCATCGACCACATTTCCACAGCATTTCCCTTCCAGAACTTATCGGTGCTGCTGAAGAGAGAATCTGCAGAGGACTTTCGCCGCAAGCCTGTTGTGCTGTGGAAGCTTGAAGGGCGAGAGTTGTCCGAAGCCGTAGCAGTGAAGTTGTCTCTACCCTGATCAAGCTCATCGTAACCATGGCAAGTATCAAATTCGTTGACATGGCATCTCCTCGCAAAGTAGTCAGCATGCCGCTTCATCAAGACCGCAAAGTTGTTGCAGCTTCCCGACAAAATGCTCTCAATGCCTGCCACCCCCAACTTGGAGATGCTCTGAAGATCGTTGAAACCGTGACCCAGCGGAAGCACGCTCGCCATGTCATGAAGTATCCCGATGCTCTGCAGCCACTCGGCGATCTTGGAGATCTTGATCTCATCAGCCACTGCCCTCTCGAACGCCTCGATATCAAGCCTCTTGTATTTCCGTATCAGGTCGAGGCTGATAGAATGCTTTCGCAAGCAGTATTCCAACTCTTGGATCGCCTTGTACTTGCCCTTGTCTCCCATCACGTGGAAGTCAAGAGTCATCTCCGTCGGATTATTGCATACAGCGATGAAGAGTTTCTTCAGGTTCTCCAAGGAAAATCCTTTCTTCATCAACACGTGCAGGTTTACGATGCGGCTAAAGTCTTCGTAGGTGATTTCATCACCATCGCGAGCGATGTAGGCGAACAAGCTGTCTATCTCCTCTCGTTCCACAACGATGCCAAGGTCGTACATGGCCAGACGAACCATGTTCTTCGGCAGGAAACCAACTTTTGTGAATGAGTACCGCCGTAGAATGTATTCAAAGTGTCCTAGTGGAGGAGGTTCGATACAAACCTGAATGGTTTGTGTATCGATGGACTCAGACATGTCCTGACAAGAGCGTTTCTGCCTGTCTTGCTTCTTTCCTCTGCTTACGGTCTCTCCCGTTCACCCCAAGCAATCTCTTCGGAGCCTGCGATGTTTTCCGTTTTTCAATCGCAAGCCCCGCGTCTCCTTGCTTGAGCCCAATGAAGGGAGCAGAGCGATCAATTTGAACGCGCCAACTGATCGCTGCAAGGTCGCATGCCCTTGTGTCCAAGAGAGGCAAGTCCCTTAACCCGGTGACGCCCTTGCATCATCACATTCCACGCTGTCCTGTTCCTGCATAGATTTGCTCCTCCTCTCCTCTCCTGCCCTCTCCTTGTTCCTCTCTCCTCTCCTCTCCTCTCCTCTCCTCTCCTCTCCTCTCCTCTCCTCTCCTCTCGTTGTTTCTCTCTCTTCTTCCTTCGTCAATCGCCTTCTCCTGCTCGCGTTCCTCGTAAAATGGTGATAATCTCATCCGCCTCTCCCTAGCACCTTTTCAAGCCCAATTCTTGGAATATTTTTTAAACAATGGGGTGGGTCCGTTCTGTGGAGACCACCCAAAGGGGGGTAGGGGTACATATGGAACGGGTATATTCCATAGAAATGCCAGGGGTCTGATAGGGTGGGAAGGTGGTTAGGCTCATCAAGAAGGGGTCCGGGTGGGATCCGGGTTGAGTGGAGTTAACTAGAGTGGAAGATTATTGGGGTTGAACAGAATTATCTTTGTTCTAGGGGAATAGTGGGTACGTAAACGGGAAAAGGGGGGTGGGGTAGTTAAATCTACAGGGTGGGTAGAGGTTGAGGAGATGTAACTTTGGTCTCGAACTCGTAGCCCTTGGGATCACGCAAAGGTATGTCACAGGGTGGGGTACTTGTGGGGCCTAGGGGGGGTGATGACTCGTTACGAAATCTCGAACACTCGAAACCACATGTTTTGGAACTCTGTACCGAACTGTACCATTTATAACGGTTTCCGTTATTTCGGGCTTGAGTTGACCTAGCGGCGGTAGACCGTACGGTAAGTTTAATAAAATATGATCCGAGAATCGATAGAAAACGGGTAGAAAACTTGACTCTGTGACTTTTATAGAGCAACTATTCGACTCAACCGCCGGAACTGGGATGCCGTACTTACTAATAAGTACTATTCCACTTAACTAAAACCCAGATCGGACGGTGGGCCAGGCGCCGTTACTGGCCGATTAACTTTTGTGTTTTTGCGGCGGGGCCGCGAGGCTGGCAGACCCGTAGCCTCTGTGTGCCGATTGACCTCTGTCGCCTCCATGTCTGGTAGCGGGATATAAAACCTCCTAGTGAAGCGACGGATGGCAGCGTCGTCAAGCTCCTGCATGTCCATCGTCAGTAGTGATCCCGGCTGTGCAGCAGCAGGTTAACACGCATCTGTCACTTATTACCTGTGGTCGGTTTGTAGCTCCGATCACAAGCAACCGCGCATCGTGGTTCTGCACGCTTCAAGGTCAGAGAACAACCCTCACAAAACTTATTTCACTGTTTCAAATCCATCCATCCGAGTGAGTAATTCACTTTTCAGGCTCCTGACTTTGCCTGTGAGGAAGAACACAGACTGAAAGCCCTTCCACCTGACCCACGAAGCATCATTTCCCCTTCTTGCCAGCAGGATACCATCTACTTCGTCAAAGAATATGACGGAAGGCTGCCTGCCAATCAGTCTCTGTCCTTCATGTCTATTGTTTGTACTCAACTTACCTGCATTTGCTCTGCCAGCGTAAAAACGGTTCTAACAACCTTCTCCGAATCTCCAACATACTGAGGATATAAACTCATCAGACAAGCTTTATCACTCACAAGGCCCTCGCGTCCCAGTTCAGCATCTATGTCAACAACTTCATCGCTTTGGGTATGTGCAGCAACACGTCTGAGACAAGCAATAGCAGGCAGTGACTCATCATGGTTCTCTTAATGACCTTCTGTTCTTACCTTCTGTTGAATCAAGGAGGTGGACAGGTGAAAGAATGTACAGTTCATTTCACTTGCAACAGCCTTGGCCTGTTACAAATACCCCCAGCCAAACATGCAACGGAGGCGAAGCTGAGTATGTCAACCAGCAACGTCTTCCCATTCCCGGGAGGGCCGAAGAGAAGAACCCCTGCAATGCACAGCCGCCGTAAATGTCTCAATGTGATGCGCGACACAGGTTGAGGTCTCGTGGTGCCGTACCTCTTGGAGGAGCTCGGATGCCCTTGAAGAGATCCGGTCGAAGGGAAGGAAAGACCAATGCTTCCTGAAGAACTTGCTTGGTGCCATCCAACCCTGCAATCTGTTTGAAGTTCGTTCCAGCTCTTCGGTCAACCACTTCGTCGAGAACCTTCTCCGCCTGATACATGTCTCTTACATACCTCCTGGTGACCAATACTACGTACCCATTCGTAATCAATCCCTTTGATCCATCCTCGTTTAATCTTGATCAAAATCTCCCCTCGCGTCATCGGCGGCTTAGCCTCAGGTAGAGCGTGCGCAGACTGCGTCTGCTGTGAAGAATCGCTCAAGGCTCTTTTATAGAGGAACAGTGCGGCTGTGAACGAGAAGACGGAGGGAGGACGACGGAGCAAGCTGGGCCTGGAGCAAGCAGTCATCATCATAGGCGCTCGCCATGTAGACGCCAGCATTCCCTGACACAGCATTCTCGGCAGCTTCAAAGAGGATACCAGAGGGTCTCCGCGGGCTTCCGCGGAGGAGCTGGTACTAAACTTTCACTCAATCGCCTGCTGCAAATCCTACCGCCCGACTGACGTGCATTTCAAGTTTCCTACCCGGCACTAGCTGCTGAGTCACGGTCCCCCGCGGGTTTGCCCGGGCCTCAGCCGCCGGGCCGCGCCTCACCGAGTCCGCCGGTAACAGTGACTCCTCTTCGGTCGTGAGTGACGCCGGCGGCCCCCCGCCGACTCAGGTTGTGGCCGCATGGCTCCGACTCCGAGGCTCGCTGAGGCGGATTTTGCCTACCTATTACCAACTACTCCTCCCTTACAGTATGTCTGAAGTTATGGTTGTATTCATTCAGCATTTACATCTCCGTAACCTGAAACTTACTACTATGGCTAGTAGGTTGGTTCTCAAACTACATCATGACCGCGTGTTATTCAGTCCCATCCCCTCTAGGAAGGCATGCTCGCAAAGCACTTCAATCGGCCTGTCGCTCGGCTGAAAGCATGCCTGCTCCACGAGGTCAACCAGCAGGGCTCGAGCTCGGACCCCTTCAAGTCCCTTCCCCTATCCTCCCTATTCTTCTCCCCCCCTTCCCTTTATTCTCCTTCCTTCTTGCTTTTCCCTCCCCTCCCCTCCCCTCTCCCTTCCTCTGTCACTCCCCTCCCCTCCCCTCTCCTCTCCTCTCCCTCCCGTCCCTCCCTCCCCTCCTCCTTCACCTTCCAAAACTTCCTTGCCAGGTCGACCAACGACTCATCCCTTCCATCCGAGGCCTCCCTGGGGCCCAGCAATCAGACGCTGAGAGGGCAGGGTGGTCAGTCTTACTCGAGGGGGTCGAGTACGATCTCCTTCAGCTCCGACATCGTCTCTTCCTCGTCCTGCATCTACTTCAGTCCCTCCTTCCCTCCGGCGCGCCTCCACCTGGTCGGGGCTCGAAAACAGCTTGAGCCTCTCCCCGTACATGCACTCGAAGACTATCGCTCCCAATCCCCACCTGCCGGAAACTCTGTTACGGAAGACCCTCGTCCTCGTCCTCGTCCTCGTCCTCGTCCTCGTCCTCGTCCTCGTCCCGGTCATATTGACCCCTCCTATCACTCATTCACCTCCTCGTCCTCCTCGTCCTCCTCGACTGATCCCTGATGATTTCTTTCTCACTCTGTCTACCTCCAATTCTCCTCCTCCTCAAGCTCACATGTCCAATGTACGCGCTGCCGCAACTCCGTTGACATCGAGGTAATTGAGAAGCAAAGTCCCGTAGGTGTCCCCGAAGTCCCGCGTCTCATTGGCCTCCTCGTAGGTCAGGAAGTATTCGAGGTTGGCGAGCTTGATCGACTGCCCGTTGCCGGAGAGAAGGACCTGTCATGGGTCAGAGCAAGAGGAGCTGTGACGCTGACGTCACCGAGGACGCTTCAAGGTTGCAAAGGAACAATCGCTTCTCCTCGTGTAGGAAGTAGAGGGCGTTCAAGATCTGGTCAAGGAGCAAGAGACGTTACAACCTCACCCTGTCCCTCCCTTCCTCTTTCCTTTGTCCCTCCCTCCCCTCCTCCCTCCCTTCCTGCCCCTGCCCCTGCCCCTTCCTCTCTCGAGCTCTCCCCTGTTTATCGCCACAAGATTCTGCCGACGCACCTGAGCCACGTACAGCTTGACCGTCATGGGCTCGATGAGGACGATGCCTGCCCTCCCTTGGCTCGCCGGGAAGCTCTGCTTCCATAGCTTCTCCTTCCTGAAGTGACTCATCCTCAGCCTTGTGTTCCCCTGCAGCAGCGAGTGCATGTGCGTCGATAGGCTGCCCTCCGGGCCTGCAGCTCGTCAGAGGAGCAGGAAGCGTTCACACCCGCTGCTCACAGAACTCGATGAGGATGTAGACGCTGTCTTGGCCGCAAGGAACGACCCCGTGGTAGTTGAGGATGTGGGGATGCGACTCCTTGCTCAGGAGGTGCAGCCTGTGGACCTGGGGAAGCCTTGAGGGAGGGAAGGGAAGAGGGGGGAGAGGAGGGAGGAGATGCGGAGATGAGAGAAAGAGGAGGAGGAGGAGAGAGAGACAGGAGTAGGTGAGTAGGAGCGGAGCGGAGATGAGATGAGAGAAGGCGTACAGCAGGGGAGGGGAGGAGGGGAGAAGAGGTGAAGCAGAGTGGATGGAGGGATAGAAGGAGAGAATGGAATGGATAGCGACAGGTGAAGAATATGCTTCACCTTTTCACGCAGGACATTCCACGTGAGCCTGACAGACAACTCAATATGTTTGTAGGAGGAGAGCAGGGGATTGTGAGATGAGGAGGGGGCAATGTTGGGGAGAGGAGGAGGAGGAGGAGGAGAAGTAGGAGTAGGAGGAGAAGTAGGAGTAGGAGGAGGAGGAGGAGGAGGAGGAGTAGGAGGAGGAGGAGGAGGAGGATCAGATTCCGCAGTTCACCTCTTCTTCAGTTTTCTTCGTCTGACTGCTATCATCTCGTGGGTATCGCAGTAATGTCCCTTGTAAATGCAATCCTCAGCATCGCCGCTGCTCTCCTGGAAGAATCCAACAAACTTCGCATGCCCGATGCGCTCTCCTCGTATCCATGATCGAGGGTTTTCCCCAGGGTTCGAGATGATTTTCTTGTCCTCCTCCTCCACATTTACAACCGTTCCCAACAGCTTGCCGCTCCTCCTCTCTCCAGCTTCTGCATGCCCAAACGTCGACGACGAGCATCTCTGCAAGTAAGACGATCTCGGCGACACATCAGCTCCGTCTTCATCATCGTTGTCTTCATCTTCAGGCTCCTCCTCCCCCTCATCATCTTCCTCACCACCACCACTACCAGCTCTGTGCTCATCGTTCGATCGGAACTTGAGCTGTTTGTTGACTGGTGATCCATGCATTCGGTTTGACTTGTTGGTCTTATTGACCTCAGGTCTGTGAGAGCTCTTGTGCTGGAACGAGATGATGTCGCTCAAGAGCTCGAAGCAATCCTTGAAAGTTTCATCGTCCACCTTGTCGACCAGCTTGATCAGCAGTGAGTGCAGAAACTTGCTGCAGTTGCACAACTGTGGCGTGAGGTTGGGATAGATTCTTGTCACCAAGTATCGCGATTGCTCGGAGTTGGCCAGCAGCAACACGTCCTTTGCTACCTGTGCCCATCTCGTCGCGAGCTGCAGCGACTGCCAATCTTTCTCGTCCTTTTCGACTTGGAAGGACATGAGGGTGATGGAGAGGGCAATGCAGCGGCAGCAGCTCTTGGCTACCGATGCCTTCAGGTCCTGTCCTCGTGCACACGTCAAGCTCCTAACATCCTCGAAGATGGGAAACCAGGAGCTGAGCAGGTTAGAGCAGAGAGTGTTCAACTGCATGCAGTCCGTCAAATCCTCCCCTGCCATGCAGCACTTTCACCTCTTTCAGATCGTCTTGAAGGCTCTTGTCCTCGTCGCCGCAGATACATTCGTTCAAGGCTAGGGAGGCGTGTAAGATTGAACACGCTAAAACAAAACTCATCACCTGAGAAGGTGTTGATGGGACCGCCCAAGATGTTGGTCCCCTTGACTCTCTCGAGCTTCACCACTTGTTCGCTCTTGCTCCCCCCCAGCGTCTGCTCGAACGTCTTGATTTCCCGCTGCAACTGTCGATAATTTCCTGCGAGCAGCCTGAAAGAGCTCTGCCTTGCAGCGTCGAACGTCTGAAAAATTCCATTCTCGGGGATTTCAAAATCTTCGTCCTCCAATTCAAGAGCCACCGTCTCTCCTCCCTTCTCCTCCCAGATCTCCTCAAAGGTCTTTCCCGCCTGCTCCACCTTGCGCGCCTCCGCCGCCTTCTTCCGAGTGCTCTGAGCCAAGTTGAAGATGATTGCATGCCCGTCGAACGCATCGTTGTCGCCGATGGACTGCGTAAGGAACTTGTGGACGTACTGCACGTTGAACCGCTCGTCGTCGTACCTCACTGAGTTGACAAGAGCGGGAGAGAACAGGACCCGGCAGCCCGGGACCATCAGGTCACGTTGCACTCCGGTGTCGTCACTGAAGTTGATGAGAGTGTAGTCAGAGCCGATGAGATAGTCGATCAGCGCTTCCGTGTCTCTCACGACGTACTGGCGAGACAGAAACACGTCGGCTATGGCGGCCGCAGCTCTCTTCACGCTATCCGAGCAAACCTCAAGCACGGCGTGAAGGGCGGAGGAGAAATCGAGCATCGGAGCCAAGTCGCTGTCCTGCATCGCATCGGAAAGCGGGGTTGTTCCCGACGATCTCTCGCTCAGACTCTTAGACTTGATCAGCAAGTGTCGATCCGTCGACTCGTCCGAGCACGGGGAGGAGAAGTTGAGTGCGACAGGAGACTTGGACGGGGTGCTTGTGGTCTCTGTGGCGATCAGCTCATTGCTACATCTCTTGAGGAGGAGGCAGCACTGCTTCATGAGCACCGACGCCATCTGGCATTGCATGATCGCTGCTCGGAGCCCAGCCCTCCAACTGCCGATGACCCTGGCAGCTTCCCGAGGCCACATGACGCACTCCCGATGAAACCTCCTCAGGCTGTCTCTGACCGCTCTTGTCCCTCCTACGATAGAGTGAATGGCATCGCCGTCCTCCGACTGCAGCCCTCTGCTGAAGTTCTCGAGGGAGGACTGCAGGCAGAAGACGTATCCCAGCTCGAACAAGTACAAGAGCCTCTCACTCAGTTGCTTGTCCTTCACACTCTCCTCCTCCGGGAAGAGACGGTCTTGAAGATCGACAGAATGTGTTACCATGTGCTCCGAGAGGGCCCTTTGGTACTGTCTCGCGATAGTGAACAAATTTGTGCAATCAAGAAACATGTTGGTCGAGGACTGGCTGCTCTTCAGGATGGGTTCGTCCTTGGAGATCTTCAGCAGGCTATCGAGCCTGTTCTTTTCCTCCTGATTCTGAATCTTGACATCTTTCTTCTCGTAGATTCCAGTCAGCAGCCTTGACTTCACGATCTCCGCCAGGATCTGCAGTGGCAGACAAGCAATTTTGGAAACCAGCGTCTCATGGCAGATCGACTCGTCGTCGCCGTCCGGATTTTCTTCGGTCTGATTCTCGATCAGTTCACTGAAAAGATAGCTCGGGTGCAGCTGGGGTAACCCCATCTTCTCGAACATGGACGAGTACGTCAGGTCTGCCCCGCACGTATCATCACAGTCTGCCTTGATGTTGCTCAGCATGTCGAGGAGCCCCCAAGAGCTCGATCGTCCTCGAGGTTGCGATCGGTGGCTGTCAGTTCTCCCCCTCCTGCCTGAGAGATTGTCTTTGGTGTACGTGGAGACGTCGCCGTCGTTGGTCACATCGACAGGTGCCTGGGTGCATGAACCAACGATACAAGTTGTGACGTCAGTGAGTTGAACTCTGTGCAGCATGCCGTTGAGATCGGGGCTCGACGACCACTTGGATCTCGCTTCAGAGAGCAGCTCCTTCATGTTGCTGTACGCAGCCTGCAGTCTGGAAACCCAACAGCTGTATTTCCGCAATGCATGATATTTACATTGAAAATGATCATCTTCGAAGAGTGCATGCGCAGAGGCCAAAGACAGCGGTGAAGTCACCCCCGTTCTCAGGCTCACCATCCTTCCCGTGGCGTGGACTCTTGTTCTCCTGCTGTAGATGAGGGGATACGCTCCCTCCAGCTCGTCCACGTCCTTCAACAGCCTCTCCACCTCGGTCGTCAGAGGTGCCCACGTGTCCGACGCCGACTGAAGGTCAGTGTACAGCTGCTTCCAAAAGTGTGAGAGGTTGGCTCGGCGATCCTCCACGGCAAAGGACTGAAGCTGCTCCATGACAGCTATCCAGCAGAATGCCGGAATCCCCTGCCCATGGTAGCAGAAGTCGGGATGCAGGGTACCTTCGAGGAAACGACTGACGTGCCTCTGGTGGCCAACGTCAACAGCTCGTGAGATCCTGATGAGGGCGTTTGCAGCATGCTCTGGGATGTAGCCTGCTGCCGTCCAGGAGCTAGACTTGAGCACAAAGTCCATCTTCAAGGTGTGTTGCTTGTCACCGCGTTTCTTCCCTTGAAGGTGATGCATCAAGTGCTCGACCTGGCAGCCTCTCTCTGTTGGGAAGCTGAAGTTCCTGATCTTCTGCAGAGTCTGGTTGCCATGGTAGCGTATCCTATCCAGGTCGTGCTGCTCCTCCTCCACAGTGACTCTGTTCCTTGTCGCCCTCAGTTCCAACCAGAACCTCTCTCGCGCCCTCTCCGCTTCCTTCCACTTGAAGTGTGTGAGGGAGGAGGAGGATGGAGTGAGAGAAAGTGGAGAGCAGGAGCTGGAGACGGCAGGAGGCTGTAACGCCTCCTCTAGCCTTCGCCGCCTGCCCTCCTCCACCATTGCAGCGCGATTAGCGAGTCACTCCCGCCATGCGGACAACGTTAACCGGGAATCTGGTTGACCAGGTTCCCAGTCTCCGGCGGCAGCAGCAGCGGCGGCAGGCCGCCGGCCCATGGCTCCGAGCCGCTGAGCGGCCCAGGCCATCGGGACGGTGGCGGGGACTCGGAGTCGGTACCCGACTGTGACCCGCCGGGCCCTGAGAGTCTCGGACTCGGAGTCGAGCCCGGCCACTGATCAGAGGGCCGGACTCGAGGGGGAACTTCGGAAGACGTAATATTTGATCACTACAGACACTTTAATGACGTTGATCGGACTTTAGAACTGAGTCGCCCACCGTGACAGTCTTAGTGACTAGCAGGACATGCCAAGAGCGGCGGCGAGGCGCGATTGCCATGATGAGATGCTACCGCCGGTGGTCATGCTCTCCTTCATGTCACTGTCCTCATCGATGGTGCTCTGGATGACGATCCTCTGCCTCTGTCGCTGCACCTGATGCCGACTGGTTACCTCCTGCCCCTCCCTCCTGCCCCGAGGAGAACGAAACTTGCCTGCTGGGCTCCGTGGAGACGGGGAGTTCGGACTTCGTCGGGCTGGAGGTATACTTCTTCGGGCCTGAAGTAGGAGGAGATAGTCTTGTGCAGCAGCTGCAGGAGGAGCATGTGACTCGGAGGGCAGGAGGTTCAGGCAGGCGTTCGGACCTTGTTGGTGAGGTTGTCTCGGGTGATGATGCCGACCGGGCGGTTGCAGACGTCGAGCACCGGCAGGTGCCGCAGGCTCATCCTGAGCAGCCGTTACAGACCGTCACGGTTCCCGTCCCGGTGTGGGAGGGGAGGGAAGGAGAGGCTGGAGGGGCTGGAGGGCTGGATGGGAAGGGGAAGGTGGGGAGGGGGGAGGTGGGCGTGGGGAGGGCGAGGAGGGGGGAAGGGGGAGGGGAGGCGGGGGAGTGGAGGAGTGGCGTGGGGTGGCGGTGGGGGGGC